TTTCATGTTAATATTCAGTATTACATACCATCAATCATAATCTCAAAGCTTATCATCAGTTTTCCCAATGTTCCCATAAGTAACCCAAATTACCTCAAATCTTAATTCAACCGCAATTATACCGAAAGGCACACATAGAAAACTATGAAAATCAATACTCCCCATACCTTAGCCGATTCGAAGTTTTCACGATTATCTCCAGGCATCTTCCGAAGCTTTTGCCTTCATTCTCCCTCCTCAGAGCTCTGGCCTCCATTCTTTTCACGGTTAACAAAATGAATCCTAAACCTATAGAATTCTATTTTTTCAAACTTAGACTTGGGCCACACAAATTGGGCTTTTCCCATAACACCCTTACTAATTCTTCATAATGCCCAATTTACCCTTATTTCACTTATATTTATTTTAATTAATAATAATACTAATAAATTAATATTATTTACTATTAATCAAATAAATAGTTCAAAAATGCACATTTCTCCATAATCCACAAAATTATTAAAAACCACCAAAATACGAATATTCTCAATTAAATAATTAATTAAAATATTCCGATTAATTTTGGGGTGTTACACAACTCAAAGTCCTAGTACTGAAGTCAAAAGAGCCTATATGAATAACATTCCATATGTTAGTATAATAGGTTCTTTAATTTATGTTATAGTTTGTACGAGGCCAGACATAGAGTATAGAGTGAGCTTTGTAAGCAGGTACGTGGTCAATCCTAGGAAGGCGCATTGGCAAGTATTAAAGTGGATTATGAGATACATAAATGGGTCTTTGAAAAGAGTCATAATTTATGGTAGAGTCTATGGTGATGATAGTAAAGTTGAAATTGAAGGATTTTTCAACTCTTATTATGCATGTTGTATGAATTCAAGAAAATCTATTTCTGGATATGTACTCACTATGTTTAGCACAACAATAAGTTGGAAAGCAACTCTTCAGAAGGTTGTTGCCTTATCAACCATTAAAGAGAAGTAAGTTGCCCTACTAAAGCTGTGAAAGAAGCATTGTGGCTTAAAGGTTTTGCTAAGGAGATGAAACTTTAAGGTCGAGTTATGACAGTTAAATGTGATAGTCAAAGTGCAATACACATGTCCAAGAATTTAGCCTATCATAAGCGAGGCAAGCATATTGATGTGAGGTTGCACTTTATCAAAAATATGATAGAATGTGGAGAAGTTTAAGTGTTGGGGGTTTCGAGTGATGAAAATGTTAATGATATGATCACCAAGACATTGTCGAGTAGCAAGTTTTTCCAATGTGTGTAGTTGATAAAGTTGCATGATGAAAGCTATTTTGTTCCCTTATTAGTGTAGAGTTTGTTCCAAGGTGGACATTTATGGTATTTGGATCGAACTCTAGTGTCGACAAGGGTAGCTTCATGGTTCAATAGGATTTGTGTATGTTGTAGTCGAAGTCTATTAAATCATGATGTTGAAATACATTTTATTTTAAAGCATGTTGAATTAGGTCTTACTTGTAAGTCCAATTGTTAAATTAGCTTGTAGCCTAAGTTAACTTAGTAGTATATAAATAAACTAATTCTCTCATGTTGTTGAGAGAGGTTAATTGTTGTTATTCACTTATAATCTTTGAACCCTTATTGAGTAAGTGAATAGTAAAGCAGATTTAACCAATTCCAATTATTCTTCCTTCTTCTCCCTCTTTCATAAAACCAGATAGAGTTTCTTGTGTTTGTTCAAGAAACTCAATCTTTCTCATATTTTGGTTTATTTTTGGCGACATTGATTCACAACAGATGTTATTAGCTTTCTCTTACATCATGAATTTCAAAATATTTAAATGGATGTAAAAATTTCTTTTCTAAATGTTTACATCCAAGGGAAGTATTTGTTTCTCAACCTCCAGATTTTATCAACCCAACTTTTTCAGACCATGTTTTCAAGTTTAAGAAGGACTATATGGATTAAAACAAGCTTCTAGAGCATGGTAAGACCGTTTAAGTAAATTCTTACTTGAAAAAAAGTTTCAAATAGGATGAGTTGATAAAACACTTTTCATCAAGAAAACTGAACATGAAATTTTATTAATTCAAATATATGTCGATGATATTATCTTTGGTGCTCTTAACAAATCCTTGTGCAAGGAATTCTCTAAATTTATGTAGAACAAGTTTGAAACGTGCATGATAAGAGAGAGATAACGTATTTTCTAGGACTTCAAAATTTTTAAACTATAAAAGGAACATTCATAAATTAAGATTAATACTATACAGAATTGCTAAAAAGATTTGATATGAAGAAGTACAAAGTAATAGCAACACCAATGCCAATCTCATACAACCTTGACTAAGACGAAGATGGAAAACCAATTAAAATAAGCAAGTATCGAGGTATCATATGCTTTCATCTCTATCTAATTGTATCTTCTCCTGACATAATGTTTGTTGTATGTATGTGTGCATGTTTTCAAACATCCCCAAAAGAATCACATCCTAGTGTGGTCAAACGCATTATGAGATATCACTCTCGCACACAACATGCGTTTATGGTACCCCCAAGAGAACGGATTGTGACATAGATGAGTACTCCGACTCCGATTTTGTATAGTGCAGATTGTATAGGAAAAATATCACCGATATGTGTCACTTGAAAATTTGTTTCACATAAAGAAACAAACACACTATCCACTAGGCCCTGACATCTTTGGTTGACATTTCTATTTCTTTCTATCATTTTGATTTATGACAATTTCAAAATATATTATTTTTCTCTAATCACTCAAGATTTTAGGATATAATTCTGCTAGGTGTTTAGAGATGTTAACTTAATTAGGATACCTACTATTAGCTAATAAAAAGATAGACTTAATTGCAACTTTAGTCCCCCTATTTTGTCTTTATTTTTTTAATTTTGATCCTCCCATTTTAAAAACCATGATTTTAGTCCCTTTTTAAAGTTTTGTGATGGATTTTAGTCTCCCTCCCTAATTTGGAACTTATTTTTAATGATGTGGTGCTCAGTTTGTTAACGTGTCAATGGCATGACATTTTTCATTAATAATAATTATGCCACGTCATATATTTTTATTTTTAATTTTAACAATACTATTATTATTTTAAATTTTTTAAAAATTAATTAAATTGAATTACATTACAATGAATAATTTAATAAAATAAATAAAATTGATTTTGAATTATCAGGATTAAAATTGAATTAAATTATTAAGAATTAAGTAGAAACATGACCAATAACCCATAAACATAATTCATTCCTTAAAAATCTAGTAACAAAAGTATCACCATTCCTCCTTCAAAATAGTTTTAAAACAACATCACAAATTCAGAATATCAAAAATTAGTAATAAAATCAACATCAACAAATTCATAACAGAAAACCAGTAGTAACAATGAATTTCATTACAAATTCATAAAATACTCAGTAGCAACAACATCATCGCTTCAAATGTATGTTCTTCCCCAAGACGAAAAAAACATGTTCTTGTCTCTACTTCAATATATTTCTTTAGATTTATGTTCTTTCTTAAAATAGAAAACCATTGATCTTCTCTATCTAGTTTTGGATCTAAGAACAACCATTGCAACAATAAATTGCCACTTCATTTGATGTTAGACAAGAGATTCACGACCGAGAGAGATTTACTGCAACGATAACGATTGTTGTACGGCTGATACAGGCTATGGATAAAAACTGGGTTTTAAAACTTGAAACATGTATGAATCTCTCATGATATGCACTGAGTTACATCAATGAGTCCAAATGAAATTTTTTTGTTGAAAGAGAATGGAAGCCATTGTGACATAGAGAGGGAGAATAAATTCACAATTCGTTCGGGGTTTTTTGGGGAAAATTTTGTTTTTGGGAAAAGAACCTTTTGGAGAAGAATATATTTTTTGTGATAAATTGTTATTAAATTAGTAAGTTATTATAATTATTATAAATATTAATGATATTAAAGTTACTTTAAATTCATTATAACTTTTATGATAATTATAATAACTTAATTCACACTAATGATATTATGGTAAGTTAATTCAGTTTTATTCAAAATGTTAAGGATATTATGGTAATTTAATTCAATTTTAATTCATGCTAATTCACTTTTAATTCAAAATGTTAATAATATTATGGTAATTTTCATATTTCCACTAAATTCTTAGTAATCTAATTCAATTTTATTCATGATAATTCAAAAAATTAAAATAATGAAATTAAAACTACTCATTGTAATAATATTATTATTAAAATTAAAAATAAATAAATATATGATGTGACATAATTATTATTAATGAAAATGACATGATATTGACACGTCAACAAACTGAACGCCACGTCATTAAAAATAAGTGTTAAATTGGGAAGGAAACTAAAATCCATCACAAAACTTAAAAAAGAGATAAAAATTGTGATTTTTAAAATGGAGAGATTAAAATTCATAAAAAGGTAAAATAGAAGGACTAAAATTACAATTAAGCTAAAAAAATATTCTAAATTCTAATGGTATTATTTGTGCTGTCCTTCGGCAAGAACTTGAAGGCCGACCTCCCAAACCAAATAATCCCATATCTGCCTTCGCTGGTTGATGCAACAGCTTAATCTCTTTGCCTATCACAAAATGTGATTTATAGTTGACAAGGAAAAGTGAAAGCAATACGAAAAGCAATATATAGTTAAAATTGAAAGTTGATTATTAGTGGAATATCTCAGATTATGCAAGTATTACTTACACATTAGTTAGATTTGGTATCACTTTCACTCGGTTTCAGTTGCAATAAAACTATAATTTTCTGATAACAAATCACAACCTCTTTGCCAGAATTCTAGGTAGCAACTCTGTGTGTGTTCATGAATCAGAATTTAAGATTTTAAAACAAACCCTCTTACCAACATTTCAGTGTCACTCACTCATGTGTTTTCTCTATAAAAGCCAACTACTGAATCTCACCAATACATCAAGGTAGTACAATTTGCATAACTTCAAAAGCACCATCGCCCTTATTAATCGAAACCAAAATGATGTTGAATAAACAATCTCATCTTTTTTCCTTCTCACTTGCAGTACTAGTTTCTCTCTTGTATTCCACAACCACTAGTTTATCTCAATTATCACCTGCTAATGCTCCTATACAACCTACGCTTCCAGCTCCAACCCAACCAGCTGCAGCCCCTAAACCATTGGTACCTTCCTTACCAGACTCACCTAGTGACTCCACTCCTGACACTGCGGGCGCTGTTGACATCGTCGGAATCCTAAGAAAGGCTAAGTCATTCAATGTCTTAATCCGACTCATGAAAACAACTCAATTGATCAACCAACTCAATTCACAACTATTGGCTACAAAAACAGGCGGATTAACTATTCTTGCACCAGATGACAGCGCATTCTCAGAACTCAAAGCTGGATTCCTAAACTCTCTTTCTGATGGACAGAAACTCGAGCTCTTACAGTTTCACGTAATCTCAGACTACGTATCTAGCTCTAACTTCGATATTCTAACCAACCCTGTGAGAACACTTGCTGGAGCTAAACCAGGAAAGGTGGAACTGAATGTGGTTAGTTATGGTGGAAGTGTGAACATATCAACAGGGGAAGTGAACACTACAATCAATGGCATTATATATACTGATAAGCATCTTGCTATTTATAAAGTTGGCAAAGTGCTTCTTCCTATGGATTTCTTTGTTGTTGCTAAAGCACCGAGGAAGGGACCGTCTTTGGCACCGGAACCTTCAGCAGTGACTCCAAAAGCTGATAAGGAGAAGCCATTATCACCAGATTCCTCAGATTCATCTGCTAAACCGACAAACGATAACTCTGGCAATGTGAAAATGAGTGTATCTGGAAAGTTGGTGGTGTCTCATATTTTTGGAGCAGTTCTCTTATCTATAATGGGATAATAAACAGAATGTGATTACTGATTTGGATTTAATTACCAAAATGAGTGTTATAAAAATATGAAGGAAAAAAAAGGAGTGAATGCTGGTGATGAATTTTTCAAACTGGGTTAGAGGATCTGAGATTATTGTGTGTCTATGAATTTATTACAATAATATTTTGTTATGGTGGTTACTGTAACGTACCTTTTTTTTGTTGTGTTATAAAGATTCAATTTACAGATACACGATCACAATTTAACAAGTTTATCAAAGTCTTTAATTTCTTTGATGTAGCCTAGATGTGGTTATATTAATTAGAATTAAATATGCTTGTCATTCTTCTAAATATTTTAAAATTTTGAATTAAAAAAAATATTATCTAATTAAATATTTTGGCCCGTAAGGTTAGATTGTTTGCTTTATGATTGACTGCATTTTGTTAAAACAAATATTCTAACGATATGTTATACCAGATGTTTTGACATGTTGGTGTGATACCGAAGCAAATCTTGTTTCGCATTTTTAGAAGATTTGTTTTTAAGCGTGAGATCTCTAAAGATTCGTTGAAGATATGATTCTAGTATATTACTGTCGCAACTGCGAAAAATACCTGACAGAAAAACAGAAGAGTCGCCACCGAACGTTATTTATCCCATTGGAGAAAAAGAAACAATCGAAGAAAACCTCAAAGAAAGGGAGAAGACATGGTCATTGCAACCAAATCCAGGGTTCGTGGATCAATTATGCGAGAGGAATGTATTAGCACCCTCTTGCATCTGTTGTACTCAACAGGATTCACGCTTGTTGTTCTAATCAAAGGATATGTTATCTAAAGCCTTCTGCTAACGGAACGAAATGGATAAAAAAAGAAAAAGGAGACTCGATAAGACTTCGTTGTCCCATGCCTACGTATTCCCTCGTGCAATGGGAAAGTCAGAGTCAACGTAGTTCAGAAAACTACGGGTGAAAGGGGGAAAGGTTGCTCGCCAAGACATCGTCGTCTTGTGCCTACGTATTCTCAACGGAAACGAGAAATCAGAACAGTCGTAGTTCAACTCACAAACTGTACTTTTTTATGAGCGACGTTAAGTTCTCATTCCAGCAGTTAGGGTCGATGCCTGTTTGCAGTAGAACAGAAAAATAATGTACTCTTTCTGAAAATGGTTTGACACACAATCCTGAAGGATAAAATGATTTGCATTTGGTTTGTGAGTTTTAGACAGAAGTGAATTGAATTTTTTTGAAATGCGCATCACACTAAAGTCTATGACATAAGATCGAATACTTCACGCTAACGATCCAAACGTCTCGCGCGCAAAGTATGCTAAAATAAGGTTAGAAATGTATCCGCTCATATTTTTCCACGTGCTTAAGACTCGTGGTGCACAACACACATCATATTTATTAAGTGTTTTGATTTTTTTAAGAGAAAAGAGAAAGAGACACACAAAAGGTCTAAGGGAAAATTCGGTCCTAACGTTGTCATGCAAAATGGCCATAAGGTTGGGATGCGAGGAGAAATTCTATCTTAATGTTAGCATGCAAAAGTAGACCTAAGGTTGAGGTTAAAAGGGACTAACCTAATGTTATTATGCATGGATTAACTCCTAACGTCTATCCTACTCCAAACTTAATAAAAAATTAAGTTGGACTAGGAGTCCTTAAGGGAGGATGCAAGAACAAAACGAAACAAGAAAAACAAATCAAAAATAGCAGCTACGATAACGCTCCAGTTTCAGAACAACAATAAAAATCCAACAAATAATCACAACATTTAACAGCTCATGATCCAACAAATAGAAGGTATAAAAAGCAGTAGGCAGAATGGATGAACAATTAACAACATGTTAAAATTCAGAACAACAGGTGTGAAAAGTCATGCAGCATGTAACATCAACATTGAAATGAAAGCTTATGACATGGTAAGGATCAATCATGAACATGCATTAACAATCAAGCACAAAAAAGTTCGATGCACAATTAAACTTTCGAAACATCATGCATATCCAACACCAATTAATCATTCGAATAATCATACGCTTGCGGAATCGGAAACAAACAACGAACATGTGAAACAAATCCAGCAAGATAACCATCAAGAACCAACAATCAACATTGTGTAAATGATTATGCAACATGATCAACACACCAAGAGTGCAACACAACGATCATAAATGTTCATCAACGAAAATCAAAATTTGCGTGTTGAAGAATCGAAAGCATGCTATCAAGAATGATGAAATAGATAAAAAAAAACAGTCCACATATATGCGTCATATAAATCCATGAAGTTTAAAAGTGGAAAGGGACCCAAACAAACTTGAAAATGCATTAAAACACATTTTGTCACAGTGGTAATCGATTACCAATATGTGGGTAATCGATTACTCACTTGAAAATTTTAAAAATACACGTGAAAAGGCAGGGTAATGGATTACCCGTATTGTGGTAATCGATTACCACTGAGACAGTGGGAGAATTTCAACTTTCCAAAAGCACTTTCAGCAGCAAATGACTTATCCAATCATCCAAATGAATAAGCAATCAATTATGGAGGAAAATCATGTCAAATCATAGCAATAAAAAATCAATTGGATCCAACAAACACAAAAATCAATAATTAAAAAAAACAATGGATCAAATAACACCAAAATGCCAAGGATCTACATTGTGAAATGCAAGATTAAGCAAAATCAAAGCTAGATATAGTATTTACCAACCTACAAAGCTGATATTTGCTTTGGTGAGTGTTGTTAAGCTGCAATTAACAGATCCAAGCAAGAAATCCAAGGATCTATGAAGCTCTAGTAAGAAAACTTGAAGATCCAAGCAATAATCTACAAATAAGCAAAAACTCTTCCAAAAGTGATTTCAACAGCTTAATTGAAGATCCAAATGAACTAAAAAACCAAAATTGAACCAAGGATGATGATGCAATGAATGTTTAGCTCAAGGATTCACAAAATTGCAATGTACAATTTGTGTAGCTTTTAGCTATGGAGCTTTTGTGAGGGTTTTGGAATGAGAGAAAAGTTGAGAGAATTGAAGTGAGATGTGTAGAAAATTCAGAAAATGACTGAGAGTTCTAAGAGGTTTGGAGCAAAATGATTTAAGTATGGTTTAGGTATAGAATTAAATATGGTTTGGATTGTGGGTTAGTGTGAGGAATGAAAATTAGAAGTGAGATTAGGAATGGAAGTGTTTGAATTTTGGAGGGAATGAAATTAATTTGTGAAAATGAATCAAATCGGAACCACTTCTAGATACTTTTACTGATGCACATGAGAAATCACATGACCAAAATGCAATCTAAATGCTGCAGTGCTGGAAAAATGAAGTATTTGGGCAAATTTCGACTATGGTAATCAATTATCCAGATTGTGGTAATCGATTACCACATTCAAAATTTCAAAAATTGGCGCAAAAAGGAGGGAAACTTGGAGAATCGCCTGTTGCCACCTGTTCTGAGTATAGTTTGGCCTCTGAAACTTGTCTTTTGATATTGCGCCTGTATAATGCCTGCAATAAACTGTGAATTGTCTCCTGCTAAAAAATACAATCCGATACCCGATCGCTGTGAATTGTCTTACTGCAATGTTGTTTAAATTGTTCATTGTTAATTGTGTTATCACGGTATTACGAATTATTTTCCTTGGTTAACAATAGTTGTTGTTTTCCCAATAGCCGCAGGTTCCTTAATTTTCTTATTTCCTCATAGGGGAAATAAGGTAATTAGGTTGTATAACATTTGTATTCAGCTACAAAATTTATTTTGTACACTTTGTACACTGCAGGCATTTCTTATTCTTTTTGCTGTCAAATCGCCGATTATACCCTTACATACATGGTTACCAAATACCCAAGGAGAGGCACATTACCGCAGTTATATGCTTTTAACTGGAATCTTATTAAAAAGGGAGCATATGGGTTGGTTCAAATTAATATGAAATTTTTTTCCACGCTCATTCTATATTTTGCCCCTGGAATATTTATTTGACAGAGCTTCTTTCTATACAAATCAATTCCATTGGATCCGGGAATGATCCATTGAAAGACTCAAAAGATTCCTTCAATATCAATAGGTTGGTCATGACTAGGTTGATTGTTCCGCTCTTTTTTTGGTGACAGATCGTCCAATATCAATTTTATGCCCTGATATCATATACGATATTTGTCCTCTTAGTGCTTGAATTTCCCTCTTGGTGCCCGAATTTCACGTGATATTAATCTTACAGTAAAAAGGGTTAAAGAAGGTGCTTAAAAGATTAATGGGGAGACAAATATAGGATAGTGTGGTGGTAGTTAACGAAATTATAGACCTCATAAAGAGTTGGAATGAGTGATTCTATGTTATGAATGTAAATTAAAAATTCAGAATCGAAAAGAGGAATGCGAAACAACAGTCACAACACACAGTTCCTCCCAGCTGTTAAATCGACGCCTAAGACCGTCGCACACAGTGCCTGACGCGTCTTCTCCGGCCGAGAAAAACCGTCTTTGGCGCCATCAAACCATTCCTCCTCCGTACAACGGTGGCGCAAAACCTCCACCCTGCACCTCATGCCTGCCACCATCTTACGGCAGATTGGATGTTTTTTTGACAATCGAAGGGAATCGTTGCCGGTTATATTTGAAGCGAAAGGATGAATTGATTAGAAGTTGGATAGTTATTGTTGTTTTTGTTGCAGTACCTTGAACATAAGGAGAGTGAAAAAATTGGGTTTCAGTTTTGAGGATATGAGGAAACGTGTGCAGTTTTTTTAGATCTAACTCTTAGGTGGCCCCTTTTGATTTCAATTAGTTTTTCCGAATTTTTTTAAAACTAACCAATGTTTTCAACAAAAATACTAAATAAAATAAGTTTTTAAAATAATTTCTAAATTGGCTATAATTCAACATGCAATCGCCAAATGGGCTGACGAAACCATACAAGCAATAGTGGATTCATCAAATGGGTTGGCGAATTAATGCAAAAAACCAATTTTTTTTAAAGGATTCGCCAAATAATATGGCGAATCAGT